GCAGCCGGAAGCTATTCCCCCAAATCATCCTGAGGAGGCAGAGTTACCCAAGATCCCACTCGTGTGGGATGAGATTCTCTGCTGCAGGCTCATGTTCTTCCAGCTTGTGAAATCCCTGCAGGAATTCACAGCAGCGGCAGTCCCTCGAGTGTCCCAGAGTCCCAGTCTATCCTGAGAACAGCTTACTGCACCAAGCCAGAAGTGAGCTGGGGGTTTAAGTGCTGCACAATTTCTTCCCTTTCTTCTCTCCCACACCATCCCCACTTGGCGTAGCCTAATGTGGCTCAGAGGACAGAACCCCACAGGCGAGGCCTCCAGCATTTCATTATGCTTGTCTGCAGAGAGCGCTGCAAAAAGACAGTCGGTGAAATATTAAGCAAGATGGGAAAAGCCTGCAGACTCCATGAAGCCATAGGCTAGAACAGAGGCCTGCGTCTGCTGAGTCTTCAGCCTTTTCCTCAGCCCATCAGTTCCTTTCTGGTGGTTTGTTTTGATCTCATCGGCAGATCTTAGCACACTAAATGCCTACATTAAAACATGCAGCCTTGAAGTATAAACAAAATGAGTTGGAGAAGCAGGATGATTATTTGTGGTCTAAGGGTGTGGTCGTGAAGGAAGGTTGAAGGGGCAGTCAGTTATGGGGAAAAGAACAATGGTTTAGCTTTCTGAATCCCTAGAGCCCAAAGAGACCCTTCCAAGATGTATAGCTTACCCAGTGGTCTCTATGCCAGGTCAAAGGGTGAGTTATCTTTTTCTATCCTGAGGGATCTCCGGCAAAGATTAACCTCTTTCTGAATAATGAGTTAAGTCACGTATCTCTTATAGCTGGACATTTCTTTCTGTGGAATCTAATCTTTTCCATAGCAATTGAACCCCAAGACTTACAGTTTCTTTATGACTCATGGAAGTGGTGGGGACATCAGTCTTCTAACACCAGTCGGCAATCACTGTGTCTAGCACTGCCCAGCACTGTGCCAGTCACACAGGGGAGTCGGCAGGGAAAGCAAGGGAGAGGGACTGGGAATTCGGAACTTGAGAACCAAGCTGTCTCTGCCTGGGAGACAGTTATAATTATGTTCTGGTGCCAGGCCACCACACCTGGGACCGGGCACCATATAATTAGCTCCACTGTGGCATCAGTGCTGGAGTTTAGGTTTCAAGGGCTCTCTCCTTAGCCTGATCAGCTCCGCTCCTTTAGCCCCAGGCCTCACTGAGCAACATGTCTGTAGTTGTGTCCTTTCTCCTCCTCTTGGGCCTTGCCTGACTCATCGCCTAAGTTTCAAAGCCTCAACCCTAATGAGGTCATGACTAATGTCAAGAATTCTTGGCAGTTCTGAGAACTAAAGTCCTCTAATAATACTTCCGCATCTTTCCCATTACACTCAGAGCACTGCGGGTTGTATTCAGCTTCTGGTCCACTGTGACTATCACATCTTTTTCTTTGTGATTCTATATCACCCACAGCATTGTAGAAAGAAAGACACAGCTTAAGAATTAGAAGAACTAAGGAACAAAATGGGACAGGGAATGTTTTTACTACTGAACTTCGAATATTTCATTTATAAGATCTGTTTATCTCACCTTTAAGAAAGATATTCTGTATATATAGAACTCTCAAAACTCAATAAGAAAACGAACATTTCAATTTAAAAATGGACAAAAGATTTGAATAGCTGCATCACCAAAGAAAATGTATAGATGGCAGATAAGCACCTGAAAAAGATGTTTAACAGTATCAGTTATCGGGGGAAACGCAATAGACCCTGTCTCTACCAAAAAATTTTTAAAAATTAGCCATGCAGTGCATCTATCAGGATGTCTGAATTAAGACAGACCATACTAAGTCTTAATAAGGATGTGGACTGGCTGGCAGGAGACAGGAATTACCAAGGGGCGTGAGGAAACTTTTGGAGGTGATTGTGCCATTATCTTATGTGGCCATGGTTTCATGGGTATACCTATGCCAAAACTTAGCAAATTGTACATGTTAAATGTGCAACTCATAGTGTGTCAATTAATCCTCAAATCGTTGCTGAAAAATAGTATCTCTTTCAGTTCATTGTGCAAGTCAATTGCATTTGTGTTTTTGAAAGTATTATATATATTATTCATCCATTCGAGCAGGGCATTTTCTCTCTCTCTGTAAATATTAATGTTGGAACAGTGCATTAGAATCCCTTGAGATATTCCACTGGGCTGAGATCAGGGCTGTTCCAGTAACCATCATTTATTAATTGGAGTTCTCTATGTAGAGGATTCTCGCAAATCTGGAAGGTAGTTTTCAGAGGCACAAGGCAAGAGACCTGGAGGTCTTAGCATCATGTGCCTGGGGTGGGAATGGGCTGCTGACTTCCAGAGAGCGCCCATCCTAAAGTTCAGCCCCAGGTCTGTGGAGGGTCTTGTGCCTGGAGAATTCTCATAGTGTCGTCTTCAAATACCCAATGATGAGGAGTTAGTTGTGTTATTACACTTCAGATCCCTCCTTTTGACAATGTCCTGGCCTTTTCTTTGCTTTTTTTTATTTCACTGCAGTATCATAATTTATTTAGCAGTCCCTCTACATTAAACATGGGTATATATATATATATATATATATGTACACATTTATATTATTTTATTTTATTTTTTTTTATTGCATTTTAGGTTTTGGGGTACATGTGAAGAACATGCAAGATAGTTGCACAGGTACACATGGCAGTGTGTTCTGCTGCCTTCCTCCCCTTCACCCATATTTGGCATTTCTCCCCAGGCTATCCCTCCCCAGCTCCCCCCGCCGCTGTTCCTCCCCTATTCCCCCCAATAGACCCCAGTGTGTAGTAATCCCCTCCCTGTGTCCATGTGTTCTCATTTTTCATCACCCGCCTGTGAGTGAGAATATGTGGTATTTCATTTTCTGTTTGCTGAGAATGATGTTCTCCAGATTCATTCATGTCCCTACAAAGGACACGAACTCATCATTTTTGATTGCTGCATAATATTCCATGGTGTATATGTGCCACATTTTCCCAGTCCAGTCTATCATCGATGGGCATATGGGTTGGTTCCAGGTCTTTGCTATTGTAAACAGTGCTGCAACGAACATTCGTGTGCATGTGTCCTTATAGTAGAACGATTTATAGTCCTTTGGATATATACCCAGTAATGGGATTGCTGGGTCAAATGGAATTTCTATTTCTAAGGCCTTGAGGAATCTCCACACTGTCTTCCACAATGGTTGAACTAATTTACACTCCCACCAACAGTGTAAAAGTGTTCCTATTTCTCCACATCCTCTCCAGCATCTGTTGTCCCCAGATTTTTTAATGATCGCCATTCTAACTGGCATGAGATGGTATCTCAATGTGGTTTTGATTTGCATCTCTCTAATGACCAGTGATGATGAGCATTTTTACATATGTTTGTTGGCCTCATGTATGTCATGTCTTCTTTTGTAAAGTGTCTGTTCATATCCTTTGCCCACTTTTGAATGGGCTTGTTTTTTTCTTGTAAATCTGCTTGAGTTCTTTGTAAATTCTGGATATCAGCCCTTTGTCAGATGGGTAAACTGCAAAAATTTTTTCCCATTCTGTTGGTTGCCGATCCACTCTAGTGACTGTTTCTTTTGCCGTGCAGAAGCTGTGGAGTTTGATTAGGTCCCATTTGTCTATTTTGGCTTTTGTTGCCAATGCTTTTGGTGTTTTGGTCATGAATTCCTTGCCTACTCCTATGTCCTGAGTGGTTTTGCCTAGATGTTCTTCTAGGGTTTTTATGGTGCCAGGTCTTATGTTTAAGTCTTTAATCCATCAGGAGTTAATTTTAGTGTAAGGTGTCAGGAAGGAGTCCGGTTTCTGCTTTCTGCACATTGCTAGCCAGTTTTCCCAACACCATTTATTAAACAGGGAATCCTTTCCCCATTGCTTGTTTTTGTCAGGTTTATCATTTCTTTGATCTTTGATTATCCTACTCCCTTGGGACTCCCGCTCGCCCGCCCCCCCCCCCCCCATTGCTGCATGGTTCTGCAGATTACCTGGCTTTGTAACACACTCTTACAGTATTTTCTCCTTCTTAAATTTTAAATTTTTATTTTTTTAGAGACAGGGTCTTACTCTGTCACACAGGCTGGAGTGCAGTGGTGCAATCATGGCTCACTGCAGCCTCCAATCCTGGGCTCAAGTGATCCTCCTGTCACAGCCTCCTGAGTAGTTAGGAATATGGGCATGTACCAGCATGCCTGGCTAATTTAAAACTTTTTTTTTTTTTGGTAGAGACAGGGTCTCGCTATGTTGCCCAAGCTGGTCTTGAACTCCTGGCCTCAGGTAATCCTCCCGCCTCAGCCTCCCAAAGTGCTGGAATTATCCTTCAAGATCATCCCCCACATTATGTCTTCCTGGCGCTGAGCCAGGAATCTTGTCAGTGCTGCTAGTGGCAGGGCTTTGGGTCAGTTTGGCTCTGAACCAGTTGGATCCACCGTTTACTAGTGGGGACCTTGGTCTTGACCCATTACCTCCCTGGGCTCAGTTTCTTCATTTATCCAACTGCAGTAGCGTTGCCTGTCTTATGGGGTGACCACGATGATTTAAATGAGATAATGCAATATACCCATCAGCTAATAGGTGCTTAGCCTACCAGTTCCTCACCAATGCACAGCTGTACTGTATAATGTCAGAGCAGAGGGGAACAGGAAAAGAGCATTTGGTGTTGTATCTTGACTGTGATTTGAAGCCAGCACGAAGCTGGCTCATGATAGAAAACACCTATGATCTGAACAAGCCATATTGCCAGGGGCCCAGTTACCTGACACTGCTTTTACTGACGGTTCCCTCATCGCTCTGAATTGAGCCTACTCTTCATGATTTCACCCCAAGACTTCCCAAAACCCCAGACATGGGTTTTGACATCTGCCCCTGAAATGACTGCATGAGAAGGTGATGGTGGTCCCAGGCCAGAATACTGGAGCTGACTGCGCGGATACAGCCTCGGGTGACGCTAGTTCACCGCCAGCGTCAGAGCAGTGCGGGAGGCAGCGGGAGGGAGTGACAGCTCTGCCCTCCTGCAACCCAGCTGAGTCTCGCGTGGCGGCTCTCAGGCAGAATCTGGAATAGGCTGATTAACTGGCATCTCAGGACACGATGGAAGAGCTCAAAACATGCAAATCGGTTATGGGGCATAAATAGAGTTTACTGGGCTCACCTAGGCCGCGTCTCGGCAGGCTCCGGGAACCATTTACCCGGGCTTTTGGGGCGGCGGGAGGCAGGGCAGGAGGCCATGCAGCTTGGAGCTCCTCACCCCCATTGGACGTGTGTGCCTCCCCTCCGCAGGGTCAGGACGCCCGCCCCGTGCCCGCCCGCCTGCCGGCACCTGCAACTGGGGCCGCACCCCGCCCGCGCCCCCGCGCGCACCCCCTCCGCAGGGCTTGGCGGCAGGTGCCTGCTCTCCAGAGAGAGCTTCGCATTAACTTTCCCATCTGACATAATCATGGAGAGAAAATGAAGAGATCCCATTAGCGGCTGGCGGGCGGGCGGGAGAGCGCAGGGCCGGGGCGCATCGGATCCCTGCCGGGGATAGGGCCGGGGCCCGGGCGAACGGAGGGCGCCTGTATTTTTAGCCAGATGCCGCGTAACTTGCTGGCGCTCCCCGCGCCGCCCAGCAGATAACCGGGAGGGGGAGCGGGAGCCGGGCTCGGATTTCAGCGCGGGCGCCGGACGATGGCAGCGCGACAGGGCAGGTCCGGGCCAGACTCTGCGGTGAGTGCACGAGCTGTCGCGGTTGCTGGGCCGGAGCCGGGGCGCGGGGATCCGGGCCGGGGCTGGGGCCGGGGCTCTGCGTCGATCCTGCGGGCTGCGGCTCCGCGCCCGGCTCCCCGGCGCCAACTTTCTCGGGCGGGTGCGGGCACGCGCGCCGGTGCTGCCCTTCTGCTGCCTCACGCCCGGCGCCGAGTCTTCTAGCAGGATCCAGGGGAATATTCCTCTGGCCTGGAGGCTGCTGCCGCGGAAGGGCTGGAGACGGGGCCGGGAGGCACTGGAGAAGGGGCTGGGAGGCGCTGGAGACGGGGCTGGGAGGCGGCACGACCTGTGGCCAGCCCGGGAGAGGCTCACCGGCAGGAGCGTGGAGCCGCCACCGGGTGCCCCGAGGGGGGCTGGGCCCTGGCCGAGGCCGCGTCCCCTCACCCCAGGGGGAGAGCCTGGCCGCGCAGATTCAGCCGGAGGTGGGGGATGCACGGTCTTGGGCTGGGCGGGCGGCTGGTCTGCGGCGCGTCTGGCCCCTAAACCTCAGAAATGCGAGGCGCCCAGAGGCCCCTAGGTAGCAGGAAATGAATGGGGGCAGAGGAAGGCAGACCTGTTGGGCGCCCTGGCAAGCCTGGAGCTCCCCGCCGCTGTCCCCCGAAATCCTCGCAGCCCCCTGGCAGGATCCCTATGTTAGCAATGGGGAAATGGAGGTTTGGGGCCTTAGATTAGCACAGCATCAAGTGGCCGAGCAGCCCGTCCCAGCCAGGTCTTCCCCAGCGACGTCCCAGCTCACCCTGCCAGGCCTCCAGGGCGGGGAGCAGACAGCACAGGGAACCCCAGGGATTTTCCCAAGGCTCTGAGTTTGGGTTGAGAGATTAAGAGGGAGCCCAGCACTCCTGCTTGGGCGTCTTGTTTCCTCATTGACACCTTTAAGCGTGTTCATTTTATTTTTGCCAGTGGCAGTCAGACTCGGGTGCCTGGAGACAGTTTGTAAAGCTGCAACAGCACAACTTTCTGGAAGGCAAAAGGAAAGAAACATAATAAAACACACACTCACTAGGGCCCAGCGTTCACCCCTGTTTCTCCATCGTCAAGGGAGTAAAGGCAGGGCTACCCGGGTGTGCTGGCTGGGGATAGCTGTCTTTCCTGATACCCCAGTGAGGCTCTCAGACCCCCCATGCACAAACAGACAGCTCCACATCAGGGATGCTGCCTGTCTCTGGGCTGGGCTGCTGATCCCCCAGGAAAGGACCTGGAGTTTCTTCCTGAGAGCTCTGACAATGGCTGTGTTCAAGAAGCTGCATTTTGCTCCAACAGGCCCTTTGGGAAAGAGCTATTGCCTTCTTGCTGTTTACAGCAGTTGATATTAGCTCAGTTTCCATTCACCTTTCTAGACAGGAATTTTGTGCTAAAGATCTTGAGAAGGTCAGCCATGACCTGTACTGGGGGAAACTTAGGGCACCCCAACTCCCAGAGAAGGTGTGAGGAGGCCCCAGGGTTCTCTCACCTTGGTTCGCCTGCCCGGTGTTTCTGCATATCCCCTACTCATGAGTGACAGCATGTTGACATTCTGCAGCGTGCTTCCGGCCTCTCCCTCCCAGGATACCATAGCCCCTTCGCTCCCCATCTATTGCTATATTAGTATCTGCTCAGGAAGTGCAAGTTTAATAATAGTCTGGGTGTCTCAGGTAACCAGGATTCACCACCCTTTCAGAGCAGGCTTGATGAGAACTTGAGTCTTGGAAGGAATTCTGTTCCCTTCCTTCTCTTCCATTTCCTTCCTCCTGATGTCCACACAGCCTCCAAACCCAGGCGGAAGGCTTTCTCCAGCCAGAGCTGAACTGGAGAGACCCTTATGAGCACTAGAAAATGATTAGGCTGTCACAGTGGTCAAACTTGGAATCCCAGCACTTTGGGAGGCTGAAGTGAGAAGATTGCTTGAGGCCAGGAGTTCAAGACCAGCCCAGGCAACATAAGGAGACCTTATTTCTATAAAAAATAAAGAAATTAGCCAGGTGTGATGGTGCATGCCTGTAGCTCCAGCTGTTCAGGGGGAAGGGGGATGCTGAGGCAGGAGGATCTCTTGAGCCTAGGACTTTGAGGCTGCAGTGAGCTATAATCGCACCACTGGGGGAACCACTCTGCAAGAAAGAGGGAGACCTGTCTTGAAAGAAAGAGAGAGAGAGAGAGAGAAAGAGAGACAGAAAGAGACAGAGAAACAAAGAGGAAGGAAGGGAGAAAGGAAGGGAGGAAGGGAGGAAGGAAGGGAGAAAGGGAGGAAGAGAGGAAGGAAGGGAGGAAGAGAGGGAAGGAGGGAGGGAGATAGGAGGGAGGGAGGGAAGGAAATGATTGACCTAGGAAGCAGTGTAGCACAATAGTTAAGAGAAAGATTCTGGAAGTATGCTACCTAAACTCAAATCCTGGTCAAGCTACGTATTAGCTGTGTGACTTTGGACAAGTTACTTTTCTGTGACTTGATCACTTCATCTGTAAAAAGGAGATAATAAAACACCTGCCTTGTGAGATTATTCCGAGGAGGAAGTGAATTAATTCATGTGGCGTGCTTCAAACCTAGGGAGAGCTTTGTGAAAGTATAGGTGTCTTGTTTTGAAAGGAAGTTAAGAGACATCACATGGATTAGACAGCAGGGATGCAGGCAAAGCAGAATGTCTGCTGTGTGCAGACCCCAAACAGGCACACAGGTAGAATTAGATTAAAACAAAGCTGGAGATGAGGAGGGGAAGAGACACCAGAAGACAGCTTTGATGGGGTGCACAGCAGAGGTGCCAGCGCCTCACTGGTGACTGGGGTTTGTGAACACGGTGGATAGTTTTCTGTAAAGGAAACAGGCAGGCCTCCTGGCCCTCTGGTCTGGGGATGGATGAGATGTAGAGAGGGCCAGTCATTCTGCTCCTGTTTGTCATAGCCGGGAGATGATCAGGTTTATATTTTGTTGCTGTTGTTTTTCGGGTCAGTATGCGCTCAGGTAAATATTTTGAATGGAGCACATTGGATTATTTGGATATTCCTGCTGTCCTGTTGCATATGCTGGAGGTACCGAGGACAGGTCACTGAACTGGAGCAGTTGGACTAGATAGATGGGCAGTAGGGGCTCAGCAGAACAAGATGGTAAAGATGAGTCACATCCCAACTAGGGCCATTTGCTCTGTAGCTGAAATATTGCCTGGCCCCTAGGGGCTTCTCAGCAATTACTCGTGGAAAGGATCCACGGGTGCATGCATGCACAGATGACCCCTTTATTAACACAGTCACTTGATTGCTCAGATCAAGAGGGCAAGGACCTATATTCCGAGTTATTATTTCTCTTTGCCCTAGCGGGATGTTGGATTTGAAATAAGACCCCAGTAAATACATTGTAGAATTAAACCGAGTGATGCGTACTTGCTACTGCGAGTGGCATCATTATCTGCAGTTCACCTCCCAGATGCCCTGAGGATCCTGCCGAGTCCTGACTACTCTCTGCCTGTAGAAGACCAAAAAAGGAAAAAAAAGAAAAAACCTTAGCTATTGCATTTCACTGCTAACTACTGAGGTGACCTTAGCCGGTCACTTTACTTCCCTGGGCCTTAATTTTATCATCAGTGACAAGAAGGGCTGGAACTAGATCTCTCCTTTCTAGAGACCTGTCTTGGTCTGAGTAGAGTGCCCAGGGACAGAGCCTGGACCTAGTGGGAACTCCCAGCCTGTTTGCTCTGCTGCGGATCGACTGTTTCATTGGGAGAGGCATGTAGGCCTGCCCCAGCCGCCAGTCTGTCTGGGCTGTCTGGCTCTCAGGCTTGGAACTGCCAGGAATGCCCTTGGGGTCAAGGGCAGTGGAAAGGCAGAGGCTTCAGTGGGGTACCCCTGGATCACCCCAAGTGTTTATCTGCGGAACTTGGGCAAGTTATTAACCTCTCCAAACCTCAGTTTCATCACCTCTAAAATGGGGAAAATAATTATACCTCCCCACAGGTTGTGATAAGAATTAAAAGCTATAATGCTGGCAATGCATTTGACCCAGTGGTTGGTATTATAGTTTTAGTATTCTATTATGGCAATGGCAGAAATGGTTTATCCTTCCCAAGTCTAGCCCAGATGGGGCTTCCCTTAACTTCTATTTGTGTGCTTGTCTATTTGATATATTCTTTTTTTTTTAGACAGAGCCTTGCTCTGTTTCCCAGGCTGGAGTGCAGTGCCACAGTCTCGGCTCACTGCAAACTCTGCCTCCCAGGTCCAAGTGATTCTCCTGCCTCACCCTCCCAAGTAGCTGGGATTACAGGCATGCGCCACCATGCCCGGGGAATTTTTGTATTTTTAGCAGAGACGGGGGTTTCACCATGTTGACGAGGCTGGTCTCTAACTCCTGGCCTCAGTGATCCTCCCTCCTCGGCCTCCCAAAGTGCTGGGATTACAGGAACCACAGCACCCAGCCAGTTTGTCATACATATTCTTATTTGCTTCCTGGATTCAATGCTTTGAACAGTCAAACAGTGTCATCGATGAATATCGCATCTATTTTTATCTACCCACCCTCAGATTTCCAGCCTGAATCATATTATTGCACTGTAAACGGTAGTTAATTGGTGGGAGAAACATCTCTTTAACATTCTTATTCTTGGGGAATAATACAATCTTTTCCCTAATAATTGAATCCAGACAGACTTTCTGAATCAGCAGGCATAAATAGACATTTATCTGAGAGACTAAACCTTGACTGGCTTTTCTCTGGAAACCCAGCTCATGGCTGGAGAGCCAACAGCTTGATCTTCATTTCTGAAATATTTCCTGCCCCACAGATGCCTTGCTGAGGCACCTAGGATGTGAATGCCATGTGCTTTAGGTCAAGGGAGGCCTTGGCCTAGCAGACACTTAATGCTTTGGAGAATTCAAAAGAGACAGAAGACTTGGTCTCTGCCCCAAGAAGCAACCAGTTTGTCTGGGGAGACAAGTCTTGCCTGGATTAAATAGCTAGAGAAAGAGATATTTTAAATGCATTTTAAAAAAAGAAACAAGAAGCTCCTGTTTTGTGGTTCCTAGATTTAAACATGGCAAATACTGAGCGTCGAAGCACAGTGTCATTTGTGCAAGAAGTAGCCACCTTTGGGGGCCTTGAACGGAAAAAAGATTGGAATCAGCAAACCAGAGTGAGAGTGAGACAGAGCTTCAGGGCCTGGGAGGAAGAACCTGCAAGCCAGGAGGTAGACAGAGCATGGGAGTGTCACAGAGGGCAAGGGAGGTGAGGGGAAGGGGCCCTCCTGCCACCATGGAGACAGGGAGATGAGTGAGCATCTGTCATCAGCCCGCAGCTGCAGGGCTTGGACTTGAACTTGAACTTACATTATAGGGGGCCCATGTGGGACCTAAGGTTGGGGAGGGCTGGTAGGAAGTCAGGATTTGGGGAAGAGCAGTGAGGCAGTGGTGGAGGAGGTTGGCTGGGAGGCAGAGTGAGGAAGCAGCACTTCTGTGGGCCTAGGGTTGTGGGGTGGTGGGCAGCACCTGAGTGTGGAGGGAGGACCCTCCTGTCTGGAAAGCTGGAGAACCTTACTGCTGTTGCCCTGGGAACCCCCTGTTTCAGTGGTGAAGACGTGAAGTGCTGCTTTGGGGAGGAGAATGAGAGTTCCATTTGGTCTTCAGCTGTAGATTTGGAGTCTTCTGTGTTCAAGGGTGTTCAAAGGTGGTCATCACTAATGTGTGTATTCATTTCCCATGGCTGCTGTAACAAATCGCTCCACACTTAGTGGCTTAACACTCCAGAAATGTGTTCTCTGGCCGTCTGGAGGCTGGAGGTCTAAATCACACTCCCTCCAGGGCTTCAGGCCCTCTTCCATGCTTCTCCACTGCCCAGAGGTTCTTTGCTTCCTTGTGTGTGGCTAAAGTCACTCCAGTCTCTGCCTCTGTCTTCACATAGCCTCACCTCTGTGTGTATATGTGCGTGTGCACATGTGTATGTGTGTATGCATGTGTGCATCCACATGTGTATATGTGCGCACACATTTGTGTGTGCATGTGTGCGTGCGCATGTGTGTGTGTATGTGTGCGCGTTTGTGTGTCTTCATCTTTTCTGTCTTTTCTAAGGACACTTGTTATTGAATTTAGGGCCAGCCTAGGCAGTTTAGGATGATATCATCTAAAGATCCATGACTTAATTACAACTGCAAAGACTTTTTATTTTTTTCTGAAAAAGGTCACCTTCACAGGTTCCAGGGATGAGAGTGTGGACATATCTTTTGGGGGGCACCATTCAGCCCACTGCAGCATGTTTTTTTTTGAGGAGGGCACGTAGAGGAAGGAGACAGAGTGTCCAGGAGGAGAGGAAGCCACCGGGTGTGGGTCTTGTGTGGGAATGGCATCAAATGCTCCTCCTTGTCATATGACCACTCTCACCCCATGAACTCAGCCTTGTGTGTAACTATGTGCCAAGCACTGTTTATTCCCTTTAAGCATCATGAAAGGGAACAAGAAAGACTTTATATCCCCAGCTTACAGATAAGGAAAAGGAAGCCAAGGGTGTCTACATACCTGAGGGCACTCAGCTAGACACAGTGGAGTGGCTCTGAGGCTAGGCCGCTGGCTCCAATGCCCTAGGACTGGGCTTTAACCATTACATTTGTCTTTGTGAGTATATTAGTGTGCTCTCATGCTGCTAATAAAGACATACCTGAGACTGGGTAGTTTATAAAGGAAAGAGGTTTAGTGGACTCATAGTTCCACATGGCTGGGGAGGCCTCACAATCATGGTGGAAGATAATGGAAGAGCAAAGGCATGTCTTACCTGGTGGCAAGCAAGAGAGTATGTGCAGGGGAACTGCCCTTTATAAAACCATCAGATCTCATGAGACTTATTCACTATCATGAGAACAGCATGGAAGAAGCCCGCCCCCATGATTCAATTGCCTCCCATTGGATCCCTCCCATGACACATGGAAATTATGGGAACTATAATTCAAAATGAGATTTGGGTGGAGACACAGCCAGACCATATCAATTAGTAAACTTTATTTTATCATCCTCAGCTCTCACTCTCCCTGGCTGTCACTCATCTTTAAAGCAAACAGATGTTCCTGGGGGCAGGGTCTCTGAGATGCATGGGGTGGGTGACGTAGCACCAGCTAAGGAACAGAAGGGCTTCACTCTCATTCAAGAAATCTGGTTGGGGGGCGCCTGGTGTTAAAGCTGACACTGAGCTGCAGAGCTGGGAGGTCCGGCTTGTGGATTTCTGAGCCACCCTACCTGCATCTGAGTCCTGCTGTGCCTCCTCCCTGCTGTGGGACCCTGCATAAGGCACTTATGCTCTCCGTGCCTCAGTTTGCTCATCTGTAAAATGGGACTCTGCAATCCTACTTACCTCTTGGGTATTTAAAATGAGGATTAAATGCATGCCTGTGCACATGCACGTGTGTGAATGTATATTATAGCCATCCTTCAGTATCTGCAGGGGATTGGTCCCAGAACCCCTGCAGATACCAAAATCCACAGATCCTCAAGTTCCTTATATAAAGTGGTACAATGTTTGCATATAACCTACCCTCATCCTCATTATACTTTAAATCATCTCAAGATTACTTATAATACCTAATACAATGTAAATGCTTTGTAAATAATTGTTGTACAGCATTGCTTTTCTGTTAGTATTACTTTTTATTTTAGTATTGTTATTTTTAATTTCTTTCCCTGCAAATTTTCTTTCCACAGTTGGTTGAATAAATGGGTTTGAGTGTATGTGTAAAGTGCTGACGTAAAGACTTACTCTTAGCACATAGTAAGTGCTATGTGCTGTTTACTTAAAAAACAAAAGCACAGGACCAGGCATGGTGACGCATGCCTTTAATCCCAGCACTTTGGGCGGCTGAGGCAGGAGGATTGCTTGAGCCCAAGAGTTTGAGACCAGCCTGGGGAACACAGCGAGACCCCATCTCTAAAAAGGAAAAACAAACAAATAAAAACAAAAACACGAAACAGCTCCAAAGAGCTGTTTTCTTTGGTGCCTGCATTCATGACTCCTGGGGCCAGAGACCTCTGTGATATTGCAGACTCTTTAGCAAGACCGTGGAGCCCCTGAAACCTCAGAGCAGGGAAACACCAGGCTGCGTTGCGCGCCTGCCATCAAAATGGGCTCCCTCTCAAAGGCTGATTCTTCCCTGAGTCCAAGCCAAGAGCGTTTGCTTGTAAAGATACCAAAAGGGGGCCAGGCGTGGTGGCTCACGCCTATAATCCCAACACTTTGGGAGGCTGAGGTGGAAGGATTGCTTGAGCTCAGGAGTTTGAGACCAGCCTGGGCAACATAGTGATGCCCTGTCTCTACAAAAAAGTTTTAAATAAATAGTTGGGCGTGGTGGTGCACACCTGTAGTCCCAGCTACTTGGGAGGATCTCTCAAGCCCAGGAATTCAAGGCTGCGGTAAACTGCGCTTGTGCCACTGCTCCAGCAGCCTGGGTGATGGAGCAAGACTCTCTCTCTTAGACCGGGCGCGGTGGCTCACGCCTAAAATCCCAGCACTTTGGGAGGCCAAGGCAGGTGGATCACAAAGTCAAGAGATCGAGACCGTCCTGGTCAACAAGGTGAAACCACGTCTCTACTAAAAATACAAAAATTAGCTGGGCATGGTGGTGCATGCCTGTAGTCCCAGCTACTTGGGAGGCTGAGGCAGGAGAATTGCTTGAACCCAGGAGGCGGAGGTTGCAGTGAGCTGAGATCATGCCATTGCACTCCAGTCTGGGTAACAACAGCGAAACTCCGTCTCAAAAAAAAAAAAAAAAAAAAAGACTCTCTCTCTTAAAAGAAAAAACAAAAAATTAAAAGAAGGGAGGCCTGGGTGCAAAGGCAGCTCACCCCAAGAGCAGTCCAACCAGGGCTGTAGGGCTCCTGTGCATACCTGGTGTCAACCCATCAGAGGGTGCAGAAGCTGCTCCAGGGGCCTGGGGCTTCAATAGGGTGGGGAAGTCATTGCTGCACACAGAATACTCACCACCTGCTGTTTATCCTCACAGGCTGATGCTGCTACCAGCTTTCTGAGAGCAGCAAGATCAGGTAACTTGGACAAAGCTTTGGATCACCTGCGGAATGGGGTAGACATTAACACCTGTAACCAGGTAAGTGGGATGGAGGCAGCACCGTTGTCTCTGAAAAGTAGCTCTTGGCCGATGCCATTTCCTGAGAGCTTTGAAACTGCCTCTATTAACCTTTTCCCAGTGGCCTCAAAACTCTCCTACGGCTGCTGCCTGTGGAAGGCCCTAACCTTAGTATTTCCACTCCCGTCGTGGCCCAGGGCCCCACAGAGAAGGGCTGATGCCTAAACAGTGTGGGCAAGGCCCACACAGATCCCCTGCGGCCTCCTCTCTTAGAAGTTGCAGTCGGTCCCGCTGTTGTCTTAGAATATGTGGCCTTTGAATTGGGGCAGGAGGAAGAGCCTTTGAAAGATGTTGTGTCAGTAGGGATGTTCAGGCTCCTTTGTCCACTGGCAGTCTGTGTGGGTTCTCAGCTGGCCTGAGAAGAAAGTCGGTGAATGAGGCCCTGCTTGGGTCAGGGGCTGATGAAGGTGGGTGGGCTTGGGTGGAGGATAATGAGGCTGGTGCAGAGGCTCTCCTGAGCGACATAGCTGAGGCTTAGCTTCAGGAGGGGCTGGCGGGGAAATGGAATGTGTTGGGTTTGGGCTGGGGGACAGTGATCAGGCTTGGGGCCAAAGATCCAGGAACTAAGTGAGAGAAAGATGACCCTCCAGGAAGGGCACAGGTGTGTGGCTGGGGCTTGTGGATTGTGACAGGCTTTGTGTGTGTTTGTTGATATTTGCCCGCCAATTAAGTTGTTTAGTTACACATGCTAATTGTTTCTGATTTAGAATACATTTTACCCATTGCAACTTTTTTTAAACCACCTTAGCCATTAAAAATTTGTTCTTAATTGTAGTGAAATATAAAGCATAGAATCTCCTGTCTTAACTATTTTTTTGGCATATAGTTCAGTGGCTTCAGGTCCATTCATACTATTGTGTAACCATCATCCATCTCCAGAACACTTTTCATGTTGCAAAAACACTAACGCTTCATTTCCCTCTACTTCCCAGCCCCTGGTGACCACTCTTCAACTTCCAGTCTCTACAAATTTGATTACTCTAGGGACCTCACAGAAGCAGAATCCTGCTGTATTTGTACTTTTGCGCCTGGCTTCTTTCATTTAGCGTAATGTCCTCACGCTTCCTCTGTACTTCAGTGGCTTGGGTGACTTTTCCAAGCTAGCAGAGCCATATTTTCCAAATGCAGGTTAAGTTTTCCATGGACAATGTGCCTCTGTCCTGCCCCCTCATCCTCTGTTTTCCCGCCCTCCTGCCCCTGTTTAAAATGCAAAATAAGGCCCAGCGCAGTGGCTCACCCCTATAATCCCAGCACTCTGGGAGGCTGAGGCAAGTGGATCACCTGAGGTCAGGAGTTTGAGACCAGCCTGACCAACGTGGTGAAACCCCGTCTCTACCAAAAATACAAAAATTAGCCAGGTGAGGTGGCAGGTGCCTGTAATCCCAGCTACTTGGGAGGCTGAGGCAGAAGAATTGCTTGAACCCAGGAGGTGGAGGTTGCAGTGAGATGAGATCATGCCATTGCACTCCAGCCTGGGTAACAAGAGCGAAAACTCTGTCTCAAAAAAAAAAAAAAAAGATAATATAAAATAAAATGCAAAATACTACCTGCCTTCACTGCTAGGGCTAAGACCCCATTTGGATTCAGTTGGTCTTGCAGTGGCAAAAAATCACAGCTGAAAGATCAGAGAGGATGGAGCAGTGCGGTGTTGATAGGAAACAGAAGTGTGTGTTAGGAAGCAAAGCCCCTGGCAGTGCACTTCAGAGGGAAGGTGAGGTACATGGACCTGACTAGAATTTGCAAACTGGATAGGGAACCAGGACCCCACCCCTTTTCTCATTCCTCCACCCAGAAATGCCAACTTCGACATATCCTCTGCCCAAAGGACAGTGTGGTGGTTCTAACCAAACATCCAGAGCTCAGGCTTGCCTTGGCATAGCAGGTTGAAACTCTGAGCCCATTTTTTGATGCCAAGAGGTGGGTGCAGCAAAGTCTGGGGTCGGGGTGACAGTCGTGGTGTGAGAGTTGCTCCGGAGACGGAGTCTGGGACCTTCCTATCTCCGCACCCCTAGAAGCAGCTGCTCAGGCTGCCGCTGTGTTGTTGTCCCAGCCCCCCACCCCCCGTAAGCAGGGATTACTCTGTCTCTCCACTTGGGATGGGTTCTTGGGCTTGCGGAGATGCGTGCCTGCAGGCTTTCTTTGTTTTTGCTGTGGCTAGAGAATTGCAGATGCGTTTCTCCGCAGTGCAGTGCTCAGTGGAGGTGAATCATACCTTCAGAGGCCTTCCAAGGGTTAAGGTTCCAGCTCTCAAAGGAATCCATTCAGCTGAAATGGGGACAACTGAATGTGTGTGAGACTTGAGCCAGGGCTCATTTTCTGTGTGAAATTGGAAGATTTTGATGCTGCCCGGGGAATGGCTGTGTCCTGATTGGTCTTCCATTGGAGAGGCCTTGGGTGTAACTGCCTTGTCACTCTGCCTTCTCTCCTCAGAGCACCTCTTCGGTCCGTTTTGGGCTCAAAGAGCAGTAAGCACCGAGGCGTTATTTGCACTTTATTGACACCATTTCCAATCGGCTCAGTGCCAGTGACAAGTGGCTGTCAGCCCTGCTTGAGGGTGAGGGGAGGCTCCTGCAGTCCTGGCTAAGCCTGGCCTCTCTCTCAAAGAGACCACTGCTGCAGGTTAGGGAATGAGCGTCAGAAGGGAACAAAAGACAGGCTGCACCGAGTGCAAAGCCTGTTAATTCCCATGGTTAATTCACCTGGTTAATTCCCATGGCTGCCAGATGTGGCCCTCTTAGTCCCTGTCTTATGGTCTGTGGCTGAGCAAGACGGGTGGCTGCAGGTGGCTGCACCTAGAAAGGAGCTGGTCAGGGTTGCCTGAACCTCATTCTGGTTGCACACGGCAGTTTGGTCTTGCTGTTGAGGGGAGAGTCCTGGTAGGGGGAGCAGGACTCCAGTGGCTGAACCCATGCTTGCATGAAACACACAAGTGCACCAGCGGGACAAGCCTGCATCGGCATCATGTGCACAGGGCCAGCCTCTTAATTCAACTAGAGCTTTCTGCTCTTTAAAACATGCATAAAAGCAAGCTCTTGTCCCAGGGTCATGGGAAGAGAATTTGCTTTCAGCTTGAATCTTCTGAGCTGATGGACCGTGGTGGCAGTAACAGGGCAAATACTTATCCTTACATAAGTAACACACTTTCAAATAGTATGTTTTTGTGGAAAGAATGTGTACTGTTTGCCATAATAGGAAGTAATTACTCTAAGTAGCATGGAAAGAGAAACTCCTGGCTTATATAAGAGACATCTGAATATTCAGGGCAGTTCCTTGTTGCATAGACTGTGTCTACTAATGTTCTATCATCGTTATCATAACCATGTCTTTGGGAAAGAAGAAATTTATATGTAAGAACACACAGGCATGCCTACACGAGTCCCTCATATGAGTGCTGGTTTTAAAATTGATTGTGCTTTAAATGCTTGTGTCCAGTGTGCTTCCTGTGCATCTCCACATGCACTCATGTGTGTGTATGGAGAGCTGGGCTGCAGGGATAGAATCATTCCTTTTTAAAGTCACAGTCGTTATCCTCTTTGAACTGTAGTCTATTGGCAGTGAGAGTTGTTAATCAAATGATTACACAAACAGATATGCACACCAAAAACCACGTTAGGATCCATGAAGGGAAGGCAGAGAATCTTAGGAGAATATAGGAGAGGCCTGCCCTAGCGTCAGAAGTCAGAGAAGGCTACCATGAGGAAGAGACAGCTGAGCTGAGGGAGGATCAGGGGCAAATAAAGTGAAGCAACGGAGAACATGCCTGTCTTAGACAGCAGCCTGTGCAAAGCCCCAGAGGCAGGGAAAGAAGCAGAGGGTTGAAGGAAGGCTAGAGTGGGTGCAGCGCAGATAGCACGAGAGGCCAGGCGAGGCGGAGCTGAGATCGTGCTGGAGCTTATAGGCAGGGACGAGAGTCACAACACTCAGTGACTAAGACCAGGACATAAAGATGGGAACAGGGGACACTGGGAACTATGGGTGGGGGAGGGAGGGAGGGAGACATGGGTGGAAAAACTAACTATTGGGTACTGTTATTCACTACCTGAGTGTCGGGACTGTATGTCCTCCAAACCTCAGTGTCATGCAGTACACCCGGGTAACAAACCTGCACTTGTACCCCCAAATGTAAACTAGAAGTCGAAATTACAAACACCTGGGACAGCATGCCCCTGGGCCAGAGCAGTGTGTGTGCATGCATGTGTGTGCTCACCAGCTGCAACAGATGTTAACCCTGTAGTTGCTGACTGAGGGGAAGGGGCCTCGGGTAAGGGACAGTGGCCAGAGCAGCAGGGATAGGGGTACTCAGGCTGGGCATGGTGGCTCACACCTGTAATCCCTGCATTTTGGAGGCCAAGGTGGGTGGATCACCTGAGGTCAAGAGTTTGAGACCAGCCTGGCCAATATGGTGAAACCCCTTCTCTACTGAAATAAAAAATTAGTCAGGCATGGTGGCGGGTGCCTATAATCCCAGCTACTCAGGAGGCTGAGGCAGGAGAATCACTTGAACCCAGGAGGCAGGGGTTGCAGTGAGCTGAGATCGCACCATTGCACTCCAGCCTGGGCAACAGAGTGAGATTCCATCACAAAAAAAAAAAAAGAAAGAAAAAGAACCTGTGGCGGTGGCCACTGCTGAGGAGTAGAGCGTTTCAGCATTTAACACCTGGCAGCTGTATTGCCGTGTCCTGGTTCAATATACCCCCTTTTAGAAGCCACATGAAGGAGTCCAGTCTTTCTCCGGAGCGCAGAGGGACATGAACCACAGATTCAAGCACAGGAGTGATGTGATCAGGGGTGTACTTTAAAGGGTCTCACTGGCTGCCTCGTGGAGGGCCCAGCTGTGCAGTCGCAGGAGGGAAGTGCGGGCAGCTTGGATGAGGGTCATGGCTGTGGAGATGGAGCAGAGCCAGCAGGCTTGGGTGATGGATTGGATGGGGCACTGCAGGGAAGGAGGCTCGAGAATGACC